TGTATAGAGCCAAAGATGTTAGAATTGTGTCGATGTCCCAATATTTCTGGATCTGACTGTAACTTGTTTGTTCAAGTAAAAACTTTTCTTTCAAAAGAAAGCCCAAAAATCTATGAGATTGTTGTACTTTTTTCTATGCAACAGGAAAGCAACATATATAAACTGACAAGAATAAATTTGTTATGGAGAACATTTGACAACTGCTAAAAGCAGGGTTTAATTTCTTAAAAAAGAAATGTTAAGTCTGGCAGGGAAGCATGCAATCTGTGTGGCCCATTTTCATGATGACTTAGTGTGTTGCATATCATAGGTTAGTGGTAAAGAAAATATACACGAATGGAGTAATATTATTAAAATACTACACAGTCCAGAATTTTGGATTGAAACTAACATAAATTAACTCCAGGGTAAAACTTCAGTATTATTAAGAATCAGTTTCAATTTTCATTTCTACTATATTGTGGCTTCTTCCCATTCCATTCCAGTAATGTAATGAAATATAAAGGGAATGAAATATAAAGAAACAGCGCTCAAACAACATACTTGTACTGTCCCACTTACAGGTTTGATGGAGATGAGATAGAAATAGTTGCATCAACAAACCTAAGGACAATTTTGATACTTTGAACGTAATTATATAAATACAGTTCTTGTCATTGTTGGCATTTAGGAATTCAGGACCAGCTCAGCATCATACAACACTCCCAAACTTTGCAATTCCTTCCACTGATCAATAATACTTTCATCTTCACAGACCTAGTTTTATAATACATGGAAAGTCTTTGTAGGTAGAGAGCTATACAAATAAGCTACAACATGTCCATGCCTAATGGTACTGGGGACCAATAAATCATGTATCTGGGAATGAAGCAGAACTTTTAAAAACACTGATCCACATGAAAGGCTTTATGCTTACTTTGTTACTGAACATAAATACAAACATAATGATTGTTACAAATTATTCTATAGTTTCTCAACCGATGCCCCTTTCTGTTTGGAATTCATATCAAACAAATGTCAGAGAAAACAAATATTTCATTTTTCAAAAGAAATACAGGAATTTAGGGAGGGAGAGTAGATTTTCCTACTAAAAGAACAATTAAAAAACAAACTAGTTTTTATAATGGAAATATCCTTGTAAGTCTTCTAGTTTTTCAAAGATGTTAACATTTTGTCAACTCAGTATGTGTTTCGTTGGTTATAGAAAGAACTCTGACTGTATTAACCATATCAAGCTGTGAAATGTCTTAGGAAAATAGGAATCCCAGAACATATCATTGTCCTCATATGAAACCTATACACAGATTATGGTCAGAAAGCCATAATCTGGACAAACATGGCTAAACAGACTGGTTCAGATCAGCAAAGGAGTGAGAGAAGGCTGTATACTCTCTTCTCATCTATTCAACCTGTATGGTGAATATATATTGAGGGAGGCTGGAATGGAAGAAGATGAATATGATTTTAAAATTGGAAGAAGAAACATCAGTAACAGTATTTTCAGCTACTCTGTTAGCTGAAAATAGAAACTCTGTGCGGTTTCTACTAATGAAAGTCTAAAAGCACAGTGAAAAAATGGGACTAAAATTAAAGACTAAACTAATGACAATAGGTACAGCTATCAGCCCTAGAACTGACAATGAAGATACTGAAGTAGTGGGCAGCTTCTGCCTTTTAGAATCAACTATCAACATTGAAGGAACTAGCTGTCAAGAAATACACTGCAGATTAGCAATTGGTAGGGTAGCAAAGCCACCTTAGAAGAAATATTCAGATGCTGTGGTATTTACAAATACCAGAATTGGGCAGGCAGTGGTTTTCCTGTGACACTCTATAGAAATGAAAGGCTTTGAAGAAGCAGGATAGAAAGACTACTATGTTTCTGAACTTTGGTGTTGGAGAAGACTCCTGAGAATACCATGGAAAGGCAAGTAAACAAAGAAAAGGATCCTAGTACAAATAAATCCAGAGTTCTCACTTGAGGCACAAATGACCAGGCTCAAATTATCATATATGGATACCCTATGTGAAGACCTAGTTCTATGAAGTAATCTACAATGCTGGGAAATGTGGAAGGAAAGAGAAGAAGAGAACAACCAGCAACAAGGAAGATGGACTATAATAGTGCTGACTGGTACAGTGTTGAAAGATTTGATGGGCCAGGCTGGGGCCAGGCTAGAGGAAGTCTATCTATATATCTCTCTATCTCTATCTCTCTATCTCTCTATCTGTTGTTAAGAGTCAACACTGACTTGATGGCACATAATCAATAAAAAATTGTCCAATTCTAGGAGCTTTTAATGCACATTAAATTCAATTTCTTATTTAACAAAAAATATTTAATGTTTAAAAAATTTAATTTCAGTAGGTTTAATGTTGAATTAAATTTCATAGCTATAATCATGAAAAATATATCAATGCACATATATTTTAATTACTAACGGAAAAAATGAAAGAAAAATTTATACACTAATGTATTACAAAAGTAATTGATTTATTCTGAAAAAGACTGCAAATGATAACAAGATTCCTCACCTGGATGAGTCAAGAGAGTGTCAAGTTCTTCCTTTGCCACAACCATTCTTAGTATGTCACTGCTATCAATGACAAAAATAATGGCCTGGCAATCTCTGTACAATATACAAACAAAAGACACAAATTATACACTGTGATAAATCTGAGTAATAAGATGGTAAGAATCCATGAGGCAAAAATGTGTTATAAGGCATGAATCAGAATATGCTAGAATTATACAGAATAAGCAGCATACTGGTACATGCTGTTTAATTGCCCTTACTTGGGTCCTCTTGCTAATAGGAACAACTAAATAAAACAAGATAGCTCTGCAAATTGTTTGTTTAGGATCATCAGCAACTCTGGTTTGTTTCTCTGTTAAAAGACCAGAGCCAGAGGCCATGATGTATTCTTACCTTTTGTCAGGCCCAGCCCAAGAAACAACGGTGAAACTGTCCAGTTGAGTTAAGTTCCTTTATTTGCTTACACCATATAGACAGAATCTTGCCAGACTAAATCTATACTACAGCAACTAGTGGATATACCCTGGGAGATTCTAAGGAGTGGCTATCCTGAACCTCTTATGCTTCCATGCTCCCCCTGTGGACAGTGTTGTCTTTTGTCCTTACCTTTTGTCAGGCCCAGCCCAAGAAACAACGGTGAAACTGTCCAGTTGAGTTAAGTTCCTTTATTTGCTTACACCATATAGACAGAATCTTGCCAGACTAAATCTATACTACAGCAACTAGTGGATATACCCTGGGAGATTCTAAGGAGTGGCTATCCTGAACCTCTTATGCTTCCATGCTCCCCCTGTGGACAGTGTTGTCTTTTGTCTCCTTTCCCTTTCTGGTGGCCTTCCTCTTTGTAGATACATTCCACACACGTTTGGATTCTGGCTTGTAGAAAATGAACAAGTCAGAATTCAAAGGGTAGTTTGGCTGGTCCTTTTAGCAGTAGAAGCCAGGTTGGAATGATGGGCAGTGTGCTTTAGCAAGGTCCTTGTTCCAAGCAATACAGTGAAATCCAAATGCAGTCAAGGATTTGGAAGGAAAAAAAATCCTATTTACACTAAAATTCAGGTTTTTGTAAACAACAATGATAATAACTATGTCTATATTAATGACAGTGGATTTTTTTAGAATGTCTGGCTAAATTGCCCCTCTCTTTGATAAATGTGTTGCATGATGTCACCTTTTTCAAATGGGTCTGAACTATCTTCTAATCAGAATTGGCATGCATTCTTAATTGTTTCTTGCACTGTGTTAAACTCTTCATGCAATTACAAAAAGTTGGAAATGTAGTAAGTCTGAGAAAGGTCAGTTGAAAAAGCTCGGGTGCAACACATTATATTAAAAAAACAAAACAAAACTGGATTGAATCCAAAATTACAATCTATAGTAATTCAGTTGTAGAATAGCACTTTTATATTCCCACCCCAAAGCAGCCCTGCTTGCCTCCAAAACCACTTCAAAGCAATAGGAGACAGTCACATTCAATGTATGATATGATGCAAGAATGTAACAGGAGGAGTTATTCATAAAAAATGAGGTAGGCAAACTTTACATAATTGAAGCTCTGCTGACACAACTTTAAATTCAAGCTATTAGAGCCTTTAAAAAGTAATACGGTAATTTGCCAAATTTTAAAGCTTACTTGTGCTCTAAAATCAGTTTAAAAGACAATCCTGTACTTATGCACTCATACATCTATAGAGTTCAGTGTGATTTACTCTCAGTAAAGTAGTACATGATTATAGCCTCAAAATACTTTAAAAGCAAAAATAGCTACTTCCTTTGAAGTTGCAATGTAGTGAGGCCTTAAAGCTTCTCTATCTGGCATCTCCCCAAAAGAAACACTATGGAACAGAAGCTTAGACACTTAACATAACAGCATTTTGTCTATATTTTTGCACAACAGCAATTAATTAAGCAGTAAATTCCAGTGTATTCAAGGTGTAAAATCTTTAAATACTGGAGAACGGAGGCATAACTCAATCAATAAACCAGTATATCAATCTATAATAAATCAATCATGTCATAGTATTTCATGTAACTATTCCAGGAAAGATAATTTTAATTCATGTTACACAATAATTCCATAGGCACTCAGACATTTTTGACAGAAGGAGGACTAATATCTTGTATCTTAATTTGGCCTTTAATTTATTCCATATATTCAATAACTAAGTAGCTATAAATGTATTAAGTCTAAGATCCAAGTTGTGTAATCTGTGGCCCTCCAGAACTTAATGGATTGTAATTTCCATAAGTGGCTTTACTATTTACTAAGTATTAAAACTATCTAAAAGGTAGCATTTGCTGCTATGGTAGTAATTTTCTCAGGAACAGATAATGACCTTCCTTTCATATATCACCTGATGAATTCTCAAGCTTTAGATTTTTATAATGTTTATTATATAATTTATATTATTCCAATTTATTCATCATCCCTTTGGTTCATGCTTGAGAATAATATTATAGTCAGGTCTAAGAGAAACTTAATTATCATTTTACTCTGGAACTATTTTAACTAAATATGTTCATAAATTTTATAGAGGAATGCCCAACCAAGTCTTACAATAAAGAAAATGACTTACTTGTAATAGTGTTCCCAGAGATTTCTGTATCTACCTTGACCTGACATATCAAACACGGTGAATGACAAACTGTAAAGCAACAATAAAATAGAATATTAGATCTGAGATACATTTTGGATTGCAATCTTATATAAATTATATTATGCCAATTCAGTGTAATAGTAACCCTTCTGACTTGTACACATCATATTTCATCTTTTTTTTTCATTAACATTCTATTCAATATGATGCACTCAGTTTATCAACAAGTGTCAAACCAGACAAAGAATATAGCCTTATACAAAGGAGTAAGGAGTACATTAAACAGAGAACAACTTAATTGGATCTTTACATTACTGTCCTATTCACTGCTGTTCACTTCCGAATATAAAGGAAACTACTTCCCATCACTCTCTCTTATTCTTCTGCATGCTCCCAAAATCTGCTGTGGAGGACACCTACCTCTGTAAACAATCTTGTTAGATCATAGTCCTATATGTGGTTATATAGCTTTGCTTCTGATCTGAAGTGCATAGGATCTATTTCCAGATTTTTTTAATGTGACTCGGATTTTGCAATATAAATTGTAAATAATGAGTTTTTTTTCTCCATATTACGTTCCATTATGGAATATGACATTTTATATCTAGTTTTTGGAATCCTACGACAGTGCTACCCTCAAACATCTGGTAAATTGATCCCCTAAGAGGCCTGAATAGAATTCATCTCTAAAAAAAAAAAATGCTCCCATATGATAATTTTTATACAATAGCTTACTATTAAAAGCTAGTCAGTAGCTTTAACAGTCAATTATGTTGTCAGCAAGATGAACCTAACTATAAGGTAGTTTTCTGATTTGCTGGCCAAACCCATAACAGGAGAGATGGGAGTGTTTTGGTTGCAAGATTTGCTTTCATTTATCCTCCATCTCCTATTAAACTATGAGAACAGTGCTTGAAATGGAAGAAGCAAGGTGAGTCTCCCTAAGAACATCTAAACAAAAGAGCCACATGATCCCTCTCCAACTAGCTTCTCTAAAGTGACCTCAACATGTCTTGAACCCAAGATCTTATTCAAGCCTACAGTAAGTAACTATTTTAGGTAGGATAGCTGTGTTGATTTTATATGAAAATCTATTTATCAATGTTGTCTTCCCTTTTCCCAATAGCCTCCATTTATTCCTAGAGATTTAGGTTTATTGATTTAAAAAGTTAATGAAAATTTCTCATTAAAACTTTCCTCACATGCAAGACTGCACTGTTCAGAATTACCACATGTGTTTCAGGACAAAGGATGAAAATTTGACAACCTAAATGTTACAGCTAAAACATTTCCTTTAAAAGTTTAATACATAACTATATAATATAAAATTATAATAGTATTGGGACAAAAACATATTACCTTGATGTCTTGAATTTTTCTATACTGAATCCTATTGTGGGAACAATATCTTGAGCTTGAGCCTGTGCAAAAGAAAATTTGACTTAAAAACAAATTGTTATTTTAATATTTAAAATCAGTAATTATATATTCTCTCTTGATTGAAATAATATTATAGTGTTTTGAAGCTGTCATAAAATTATATTACCAAAATGTACAACATGCAATGTCCCTAACAGCTATAAAAGGATACATAATGTGTTTATGAATAAAAAAGAAATATTTATCTTTTAAGTTTGCCTCTGATTCTTACTCTGCATAATGGCAGCTCTGCAGGCTTTTGATTTGATTTCATTCAGTCCAATCATATATATGATAACTTATATTTAGGTTTAATTCATTAATTAATACTGAACAATGAGATATAGTTATTCCTATTTTCTTATAATGTGACTTAAGGTTCAAGTGAACTGGACACCTGCTTAGATGGCTCCCTTGCTGAGGGGGGCATTTTTATTCTCCTTTCCCTATGGTTTGTATCTTGGTTTTTATGATATTTATTAATGTGTTTTTATATTCTTTTGTTTTTATATGTTTTTATCTGATTGTTGTATGCTGCCCAGAATTGCTTGTGGTGAGATGGGCAACTATATAAATTAGATAGATAGATAGATAGATAGATAGATAGATAGATAGATAGATAGATAGA